AAAGAACGACATTACCACGGTATTTAGGAGGACGAGGACTTATTGATATAAGCGAGCAATTAGATAAACAGATTAATAATTTAAGAACTTATTTTCAGGTGCAGGCGGAGACATCTACTCTTCATCGCGCGATTTGCGCAGTAGATGACACAACACCGATCAACCTGAGGGAACAAGAAATGCGCATAAACCATCTTACTAAGAACGAAAAAATGCGCATCTGGATGGGTAAACCTCTGCACGGGCGACATCCGAATGAAGTCAGTCAAGACTATGTCGACAATATAGCGTCGAACTATTGGCTGACATCAGGAAAGATGTTCCCTGAAACAGAAGGTTCAGTACTCGACATTCAGGATCAGGTTATACCAACCAAAAATTACCTGAAATATATTGTCAAAGACCCTCAGGTCCAAAACGACAAATGCCGATATGGATGTCAAGCCCAAGAAACGATCCAACATCTTACCGGAGGCTGCCAGGCATTTGCTGCAACTGAATATAAGGAACGGCATGACTCAGTAGGGAAGATCCTCCATCCTCCATCCATAGCTATTAAACTGGGACTTCTACAAACAAACCATCTCCCATATTATCAATACGTTCCAGAGAGTATGCTTGAGAATGACAACTACAAGCTATACTGGGATCGTACTGTGCTCACAGACCAAACTGTAGCACATAATAGACCAGATCTCGTGCTAGTTAATAAACTAACAAGACAAACAACTCTAATCGATGTGGCGATACCTAACAACAATAATCTGCGTGTTAAGTACAACGAAAAGATCGCCAAGTACAGAGATCTGGAAATACAAATAAGAAGACAATGGAGAATGGAAAGTACCCAGACGATACCGATTATTCTTTCTACCACTGAAGTCATTCCGAAGAACCTCCTAGAAAACATAAAAAAGCTGGGTCTAAATGAACATCTATATAAGGTCATGCAGAAAGCTGTGCTACTTTCGACGTCTAGATGCGTGCGAAAATTTTTAGGAGATACACCGACGTACCAAGTCACCTAGGACTCGATAACATGGAAAGAGTCCCACCAGAGCTCAATCCTTTTGATACCGTAGGTATCTGGGATGAGTGAATTTTCCCCTTAGAGGGAGTGTGAGCCGTATGGCTAAATCTGGATAAGGCCTTTATTCATCACATAATATTATTTACATAACTTAATATTCAAAAAGCTCCAGGCGAGTTTCAGGTTTCAGCTGTCAGGCAGCTGGCAGGTTTCAGGTATCAAGGGGGAAGAGGACTTATGGATATAGGTGAGCAATTAGATAAACAAATTGCTAATCTAAGACTTTATTTTCAGGTACAGGCTGAGACATCTACCTTACATCGAGCAATTTGCGCAGTAGATGATACGACGCCGCTTAAACTGAGGGAACAAGAAATGCGCATAAACCACCTGACTCAGCAAGAAAAAATGCGCACCTGGATGAGTAAACCTCTGCATGGGCGACATCTCAATGAGATCAACCAAGAATATGTCGACAATACAGCGTCGAACTATTGGTTGACATCAGGAAAGATGTTCCCCGAGACTGAGGGTTTCCTACTTGCCATTCAGGATCAGGTTATTCCAACTAAAAATTACCTAAAGTATATTGTTAAAGATCCTCAAGTCCAAAATGACAAATGCCGATATGGATGCCAAGCCCAAGAAACCATCCAACATCTTACCGGTGGCTGCCAGGCATTTGTCGGTACTGATTATAAAGAACGCCATGACTCAGTAGGAAAGATTATTCACCAAGAACTAGCTGACAAACTGGGACTTCTCCATACCGACCATCTTCCTTATTATCAATACGCTCCTGATAGAATGCTTGAAAATGACAACTACAAGCTATACTGGGACCGCACTGTGCTTACAGACCAACCAGTGGCCCATAATAGACCGGATCTCATACTAGTTAATAAACTTACTAGACAAACAACACTTATTGATGTGGCGATACCCAACACCAATAATTTAGTTGTTAAATACAACGAAAAGATCGCCAAGTACAGAGATCTAGAAATACAAATCAGGAGACAATGGAGAATGGAAAGTACCCAGACACTACCTATTGTTCTATCTACTACTGGTGTTATTCCCAAAAACCTCCTAGCGAACATAAAACAGCTGGGTCTAAATGAACATCTTTATAAGGCCATGCAGAAAGCTGTACTCCTCGCGACGTCCAGATGTGTACGAAAATTTCTGGGAGATACTCCAATATACCAAGTCACCTAGGGCTCGATAACATGGAAAGAGTCCCACCAGAGCTCAATCCTTTTGATACCGTAGGTATCTGGGATGAGTGAATTTTTCCCTTAAAGGGAGTGTGAGCCGTATGGCTAAATCTGGGATAATAATAAAGGCCTTTATTCATCACATAATATTATTTACATAACTTAATATTCAAAAAGCTCCAGGCGAGTTTCAGTTCAGGAAATGTACAGTGCGAAGCACTGACACATCCTGTCTGTTCAGCTAACCTGGGCAAACAAATAATAAGAAATATCTAGAATTGTAACCAATTAATAGTACTAATATTGATATAAAAACGAAATCAAAATCAAAATGTAAATTAAATAAATTTTAGTTAACTAAATGTAGGAAAATATAAAAATAATTAATCTAGCATTCAATTAATATGCGCCCTAAATGTAAGTTCTACTCATAATTATTTATATTATCAAACCTTACCTATGCAATATGTCGTAATTTCTCAAAAACGAACTTTTTAAATTTGTTTTGAGTAAAATTAAAAGCTGTGGTATAATTATTCATAACTTGAGCTATATGATATGAAAAAGATCGCTTATAGATCTGTGTACGATGATAAGGGATAGAAATGGTGTTTTTATGTCTGATGTTAATATTATGTACATCAGTACGGAATTTTATTTTATTATAGAGGTATGGAGGGGTTTTAAAAATAATAATTTTTTGGAATTGACAAGCTGAATGAAAATGTCGTCTAAGTTTCATACTTAACCAACCTGTTTCTTTAAGTTTGTAACTTATTGGTTGATTTCTGCGGATACCATGTATCAAACGAAGGCAAGAATTTTGCATTTTTTGTATTCGATAACTATCACGTTCTGTAATACATGAATTATAAATAGAATCGCAATAGTTAAAATGTGATAACACCAAGGTATCACACAGCAATTTTATTAAGTCTTTGGTCAATATATGACGGGATTGAAATATAAATTTCAAATTTATATAACTTTTCTGCAAGCACTTGTTCACATGATCACCAAATCTTAAGTTATGATCTATATGTAAGCCTAAGTTTTTGACAGTTGCCTTAAATTCTATCGAAGAATTATCAATGGTGATCATATGAGCAAAATCTCTCAGAAATATTTCTCTTTGTGTCACTGGACCAAAAACTATACCTACAGATTTATTGTTATTAAGCCGAAGACAATGGCTAGAAGAAAATTGAGAAACTCTTTCTAAATCATAATTAATTGCAGCCACTGCCTGTTTAAACTCATCAGGCTTAAAGGATAAGTAGATCTGAGTGTCATCAGCAAAATAGTGCTGATTACAGGAGAGAAAATGAGCAGGAAAGTTTGAAGTATATATACTAAATAATTTGGGACCCAATATAGAGCCCTGTGGTACCCCTTTATTTGTTTTAAGATAGTTTGATGTCTTACCATTGTAATGAATAGCTTGACTTCTATTATTGAGATAACTGAATAGCATATCAGATGCCTGCTTAGACATACCAATATACTTAAACATTGAAATCAACAGAGAATGGTCAAGCGTATCAAAAGCTTTGGAATAATCCAAAAGAATCAGCACTGTAATTAAGCCATTATCGCAACCACCAAATATGTCATCAGTTATTTTTAAAAGGGCACTAGTGCAGCTGTGATCCTTTTTGAAACCGGACTGATTTTCTGGCAGAATTTTATGTTTATCTAAGTGAACCTGTAGTTGCTGATTTAAAATTTTCTCTAGGATTTTTGAAAAAGTAGGTAGTATACTAATCGGCCGTATTTCATTAAAACCTGTCGGATTATTAATATGATTAGTTAAATTATTGTTTTATTTGTTACCAGCTAAATTTTAATGACAGGGCGGATTCACACTTGAGAAATAAGCTAGGCAAAGCATAGATGATAAGCACCCATGGTTGATTGAGGTAGTATTTCATAATACCATTTTAATTCACTTTGGTAGTCGTATAGCTACAAATTATTAATCCTCCCAATGATCCTTCTTAAAATTGTGTTTTTCTGTCTCTTTATTCTAATAATTTTTCAATAAAAAGCTTTTCGAGTCATGAAACGTGTACCTAGGTTCCTTATATACTATATCACAGGATTGAGAGGATATATAGTCTTGAAACTTGTTAATAGTTGTAATAGTATTCTGGGGAAATTTTTTTAATGTCAAAGTGTTCGCTCTGTGCTGTGTTTGTTTACATCTGTCTAGAGCTTTCAACTATTGTATTACATTAAAATACCACATATCATGTTAAGGCTCCTTTAATATCATGATATATTTGATTTTGCTATATCATCGTATTCTATTTGTTAAATCCTATCCTGAGCTATGCCGCATGACCCTGTATGTTAAGCCGTTTAGACGCTACAAGTTTAAGGCCTTTATTTTGAGCCGCCATGTTGAATTTTTCTATGCCACCATATTCTATTCATTAAATCCTACCCTTAGGTATGCCACATGCCCCAGTGAGTTAAGCTGTTTAAGTCAAATTTTTTGAATATATCCTTACACTTCCACTTTTTCTTATTATAGGAATCTATCGATAATGTTAAGTTGCTTCTCATATGTTCATCGCAACAGTAAAAGGCAAGGCATTATCAAATAAATTGATAGAAGCGCCTTTACCAAAATAAAATTTCCTCAGACTGCATCAGGATTGCTGTTGTTTATATACTTTAGTTTTCAACAATCTTTTCAGTATAAGTTGATTATATATTTTAAATAGTTTATAATTTGGAAAACTTACCCATCTTACAGCTGGTAACTCTTGTTGTAACAATAAGTGATTGGCTTCATCATCGAAGCCCCATTGGCAAATTGCTAATGTAGCTCCAGCTTTCTTTACTAATCCAACCTAAACAAATATAACATATTTTTATTTTAAGTGTAGTTAAAATAGGCAGTATGTAAAGTAATATATACAGTATGACAAAAATAATTAAAAACAAAATATAATTTAATATGTATGGTGGGGGCTAATAGAGAGAATACAATAAGTAAATGTGCCAAACTTCTAACTATTTTGAAAACAGCATAAGCTAAGAAATTATTAATCCTATCAACTCTTGTACTAGTTCCTAATAATAGAATACTAGTTCACAATAATAGAATTCTACTCAAATGTTAACCATTTGACTGTCTCAACCATACAGTATTGAATATGTTTAACCCTCCGTTAGTCGCTATCGGTCTCACACACAGACGACAGAATTATTCATTTGGTGTTTACAAATAACTGTTATTTTTCTATCGCCACTTTCTGTACCTCTCCCTATCAACCAAACTAGCGTTGGTGTACATTATTACCTGCCTGAGTACAGTTGTGCAAGTTTTATAGTTATTTTCAGTGCCCGACACTGTAGCGCCTAACAGTGTAGTTATTACTTTTTGGCATAATTTGAAGATCAGGTAAATATTTAGCATCTTATTATTGTATTTTATCAGTAAGTTTTTGTTAATTTTTATTTATAGATATCCTTTGAAGCCTAACAAAAACGCTTGTTGGAATTATGGGAAATGGTTCCTACTGACGTTGAAAATTATTTTGACGATGATGAGGGAAGCAAAAACGACATTGATCAAGTTGAGGAACGTGATGGCGGAAGTGAACCGGAACAAGACATGACAGATGAGGAAGAAGAAAGTGGAAGTAATACCTTAGCATGTACTGGAAAAGATGAGTTACTAGATGGAAAAAGGCTATTCCACCGAGAATGTTAGAACAAGACAAGAAAATTACATAGTACATAATACAAACTAATGTTTGTATTTTGAGAACGACTTTCGAAGTGGAAATTGAAACGTCAATAAACCTACTTTAACCTTTACATTCCATAATATTAACAATATATTGTTATAATAGTGTTTTACATTTTGTATCTGTTTTTTTTTTCAATAAAATATTTTCAAAAATATTTTTCATTTATTTTTATACACAATATAAAATATTTGTATGACTTTTATAGCAAAAACTTTTTTTTTTTAATTGTCGGTCTCAGACACCGTAGCAACTCTTAATGTTCAGTTTTTCCTAGTGACTGAAGGAGGGTTAAAAGGATAGGCTTGGACTCTCAAAACACAAAAAACATTTGGTAACTAGTTAAACATTAAGTGGTGACAGTAAAGCAGAACACTTAAATTAATGTACCAAAAAATATGCAGACAAGGTTATCTATTAATCCCATTAATATAATTAATATACACTCAGTGTGAGATTGTAAATTATTAATTTCCATTAGTAAAACCAATTTATACTGATCAGGCAAACTTGATAATGGTAAGATACTTTATCCAAGTATTATACAATTTTGTGAAATGCCAGATATATCCAACTCTTCTATTTGGAACAACCTAAATTTCGTAATGTGTTTACAAAATAAAACACATAATTTGGCAGCAACATCTTCTTTTTTTGCATAGCCAAGTCATTTATATTAAATATATTATTTATATGGGATTAAACCACAATTGATCAAGGAGATAATTTAACTTGTAGTTGTTAATTGGCACTTTGTTTTGGCCAACTTTACAGGTGACTTACATGGACTCAATCTTGTAGGTAAATAGCCATGATTTGAGTTGAAAATCTGAGGGTGATGAACCCTCAGATTAATATCAAATTCTGATTTTTGTGTGTTTAGGTAGTTAATTGTAGACTATGTCTCTGACCTATTAATCCATTAATGTTGATATACTCTTGTTGCTGACTTCTTTTAGTATTGGTAACTAGAGTCTGCTACATTGTGTTGATGGGTTTTCTACACATTTTTCTTCATTGTGTAGGATGAGAGCTGCTTTTTTAATTTTTCCGTTTTTCATGTATGTTTCTTTCATGACTAATGATGCATCTTTTCATTGTAAACAAAATGTACTTTCCTAAAGCTTTATCTTTTTACATTTGAAGCATACAGCATCTACATTATAAAAACATGCCAACACTGATATACCAAAATTTTTTGTTCCATGTTTGACATTTGCAGCTATGATCAGCTTGTACTTTCGGTAAACTTAACCTTTTTAATTTTTTTTCCAAAGGCACATTTCAAAAGGCTGTTAATATCAAAACTGGCTAGCATATTGTTAAGATTGTAATCTAGGTCTACTAGTTTTTGCACAAAATGATATGAATTCTTTCTAAATGTTATTGCGTTATGTGCTAATGGTTGTATTATATCTAGGAGGAATTTTTACAAGTTGCTACAAGGAGAAACCATGCTGCTGAAAATTTCTATGAGGGGTACATTTTCTATGTCTTTTTGGGACTATGTACAGGTGCAGTGTCCTGCTATATATAGTGGGGTGTTAGTGTTTTTTAGTAATCTGTAGGTATATTATTACATTTATGTAGTGCTTTGTATATTTTATTTTAAAATTATTTGATTGGGTTTTTTTCTAGCTTTGTGTATGGCCCAGTTGTGACTAATTCTTAAATTTTCTCCTAGTATTGAATTTTGTCCATGATTACAATTGCATTACCTCTGTCTGCTTGCATTACCCTTGTCAGCTGGTAGTATTATTATGTACTTTTCATGTGTTGGTAGTTTTTGACAGACTTTAATTCCTAATTTAGGAACTGACAGACAGGTTACAGCAAGATTTAAAGCTTCATAGAGCATTAGGTTCTCTGCTGCGTCCAACTGTATTTTTGATTTTTAATTAAAGCTTGAATGCTAAGTATAAATAGGGTCAAACATTCAAATGTGCATGTTACAGTCAAATAGTTTTGACAGCTATGTCACCAGCTGTTTTTCAAAATCACCAGATAAGAATTTTTAAGAAAACAGTAGAAATCATAAAAAAGAAAAAAGGCTACAATGACTGATGCTGATCAGACTTGGGCTCAAAGATTCTATTAACCAAAAAAGATCAAAAGGGAAAGAATTGGAAATCTTTAATAAAAGGTGAATACTGGAATAATGCTTAAGTCAAAACATATCCTATGATGTATTTGATTAACTTACTATTTCCTTGAACTTATCATGTTCATACTGTCTTAGTTCCTTATAATCTTCCACACTGCTTACATCCAACTTATGTTTGGTCTTTGGTTTTGGTGGTTCAAATGGACAGGTAAGAATAGCCAATTTTACATCTTTTAGTTCTTTGGGCATTTGTGGATGGGACATTGTTTTGTCAATAACTACACCTTTAACTAATGTTGTGTCTTCCAATTTTCCACCAACCTAAAAACAATAAATACATTTTTATTTAATGCACATATTAAAAAAGCAAAAAATCATAGTAATACAAAACAAAGAAAAATTAACTATTTTCATTTAAGTCTATATATGGTCTAAATATGAATATATGATATGATTCTGACAAGTCTGACTAAGTTAGACAAGGAGCATGTAACTCTTGATTTCTAATATTTTTATGCATTTGATTTAAAGCAGAATTAAGTTTGTTGTATTGTTACTACAATGAAATATTGCCTGTGATAAAAAAATCTAATTATAATTAGAGAATATAATTGAAGGGCTGAGTGGATGAAGGAGGTATGTAACATTTTTACAAAAATCTAGTTATTCTCGTAGATGAAGGAGGTATGTGTTAATATGTTTTGTGGAACTAACAGTAGCACTCTAAGAGCCATATTAAGAGAAATACTAATGTAAAGAAGAAGGTATGTATCAACAACTACTTCTTCCATATAGCACATACCTCCTTCTTCCACTAGTGTCCTGATCAAGTTCTGTAACATACCGCCTTCATGCACGTAACAGCTAGCTGTGAATGAGCTGTTCACCATTTGACAAAAACGATTGTTGTGATTAACATGTGTTTTGCGAATTTAAGTTGTGTTAAGTAATATTGCTCACATTGATAATTGAAATGACTTCAAGGGGAAAGATAATGTTACAGTTAGCTTTAAATGATAATATTTTAACTGCCAGCGAGAGTATTGACAAAAATATAATACAAACCATGAAAAATGAGAATTCTAATCTACAAATGCCAATTTCATCAACAAGTAATGATTATTCTACAGGCAAGAATGAAGTTCGCCAAGAAGAATGTAAGTATCTTTTTTATAAAATATGAAATTCACGTAGGAATATTTTGTTATATTCAATGGTACCTATTTTTTATTGTTATAGGGAAAGTGCCATATACTTTCACAATGTGTCCAAGTGTTAACTTGGAGGTAAACAGTTCTGCTCTGACTTCAAATGTATAGTTTAATATCTTTTGTTTTTTTAATCAAACAGATATTCGAAATTACAAGTAATACTACAGTTTTCCTTATGTAAAAATTAAATTAATTAAAATTAAAAAATCTAACGAAATATTTCCAACTGTTATTATTATGAATATGGAAATTAACAAATTTGGCAAAAGTTTTATGTCATGACTTGGTCAACTGTTTTGTTATGATTATTATGTAATTTGTCACACGACTTATAATGTGCTAAGGGTAGATTAAGGGCCTTATAACTACTTCAGTAAATTTACTATATCTTTTGTTTTTCAGATGATGGAGAAGACAATAACTACGATTCAAGTTGCGATACCTTATTCGGGGGCAACTCTAGTGATGAATACATGCCAGATCCAGAAGATTACATCAACTCATCATCAGACAACGAGATTGATAATGAGATGGTAGATGCACAGAGTAATAATGAACCGATGGAAGAAGAGAATGATATACTAATGGAGGATAATAACATACTAGTAAGTCAGGCAAAATCTAATGAAAATATTGTTGGACAAAATGAAAAAGAGCATATATTGCCTACAGTCCATCGCAAAAAGAAACATTTCCAACCAAAAATAAAAGTAAGTAGAAAAAGGCAACGAAATGTTAATGAATGGAAGAAACGAAATGCTACACTCTGCAGGCAAAGAGGAGAGGCCTACACAAATTATAAAGGTGAGTTGAAACCTGCTAAGAATATTGTCAAAGGTACTAATTTATGCCCCGAAAAGTGTCGCCAACAGTGTTCCCAGGTATTTACAATTGAAGACAGGGAAAAAATTTTGTCATCGTGGTACAAACTGGATATAAATGCTAAAAACTCTATATAATAGTATCAAAATAATCGCCTCATTCCAATATAACGTAACATACGGGGCAAAACAAACTATTACATGTAAACGAGCTTTTGTTTCGTTATACAACATTAACATGAAGAAGGTTGACTTAATCCAAAAGCAAATTAAGATGGGTTTAGCTGCTCCTCTACCAGACAAAAGAGGAAAACACTCAAATAGACTCAATAAAATTCAAGATGATGTTGTAGCTTATATAATCCAGCATATTTCAAGTTTCCCTTCAGAATTATCTCATTATTCAAGAAACTGCAATATCCATAAGAAACATCTGTCTCCGCTTTTATCGCTTCCTATTATTCATAAACTTTATATTGATACACGTAATGCAGACAAAGTCCAAAATCGATTTAAAGTTAAAGAATGCACGTACCGCAATATTTTTAACAATGAATTCAACTTATCGTTTGGACACCCGAAAAGTAACACTTGCAGCACTTGCGATTCTGGTGCTGCAAAGAGGAACATATTGAAAATTATAAAGCGGCGTTTGAGGCTCAGAATATCGACAGGGAACTAGCCAAAAATTCAGATGGTGTTGCATATATGACATTCGACCTCCAACAAACGATGCCGTTGCCTAGACTCAGTACTTCTAAAGCATTTTACCTCCGCCAAATGTGGATCTATAATTTAGGCATACATATTATAACTAAAGAAGTTGATAAAACCATTTTTTGTACATGGACTGGACCAAGCATGCAGGGGTAGTAGTGAGATCGCTAGTTGTCTTTTAAGAACCATTAAAGTTGAGCTGGCACTTAAACAAAAATATCATTTCAAAGGAAACATCAAACTATTTGTACTCCACAACAATACCGTGAAATTATTGCATCTGCCAATAAAAAGAATAATATGGTTATTGATATGCTACATCATTTCAAAGACACCGAGAATCTTCTAAATAAAATGCAACTGATGAATAGAAAAAAAGATGTTCTAAATGAAAAAGTATATTTCCGTGATGGCATTAAATGGATCCGTGTAGATACCTATGGTTCCTACCTCTTCAAGGAGAGTTTCGATTATGGTACTCCTTTTAAAAAAGTTAATATTTTTAAAAATTTGAAAAAGCCCTCCACACTTTCCGAAGATTTTGACATTCCAAGACTTTTCAGGAAAACCGGTGCACTATCAAAAGAGAAAATTGATAACTTAACACAACAACTTCCCTTCGTTCCAGAACAACACAGGTAGTTCTATGAGCTTATTTTGCGTGAAAATAATGAATATACTTAAGGGGTGACAATTTTCGATATCCTTGGTGTTATTAAAATATGTATACGTATTAAAAATAAATATTATTTTGAATATCTACACAACAGTATTTTCAATTGTATGCATATAACCTGTTTTATCCTTTAGACAAAGATGAAATATACAAAATATTTGTGGAAGAACGAGGTATGTACACAACATCTTTTTTTTTTTTGTCTGGTTAGCAGATATTTAAACATTTTCTCAACTTCCATATTAATTTCACCACTCATGAGAACAGTATGATTATTTAAGCATTTGAAAACCAATAACTACAAAAAAGTTCTACAATGAAAACTTTCGGGTCAAATATCTCAAAACTTACTTTTTGTTACATACCTCCTTCATCCACTCAGCCCTTCAATTATTTCATATTCTCAGTAAAATTATCAGTTTGCAAATTGAATGTAACTTATGTCAAATTCTTCCTTTTCCGTTCTGAAGCATGAAGCAAATATTTGCGAATAGAAAACTGTACAAGTAATTGATAGTAGTTAAAATGAAAAATAAAATATAATTTTAATAGAAACTACATAAAAATTAATGTTGAGCTACCCCATTAAAAGGCATTACAAGTAATTGATAGCAGTTGAAATCAAGAATAAAATGTAATTTAAATAGAAACTACATAAAAATTAATGTTGGGCTAACCAATTAAGAGGCATTGTACATTAATCACTAACTAAAACACAATTCATGTCAAAAAAATGAAACATACCTTTCCTTCAACTTTAATAAGTTCAAAATTAACATCTTTCTGTTCTAAATCTGCAACAGCTAAGACAGCATTAACAGCTATTTCTGCCATCTGTTTATGACATTTGTTAATGATTTTAGATCCCAATGTGGTCATTGCAACTTTTATTAAAGGTTCAGTGTTTTCTGCTGATACTGGAAATAGTTCAGCAATTTTTTCCAAATGAGCTACAGCTGTTTGACAAGCTAGCTCAAAGCCATCAGCAATCCTTATGGGATGAATACCTCTGTCTATTAAGGATCCTGCTTGCTCCAAAAGGGCACCAGCCAGAACAACAACACCTGTGGTACCATCACCTAAAATTATGTTGAATAATTATACATCACATAACAAGATATTTAAATCAATTTAAGATTGTTTAAAACTGTTTATCTGTGGAACAGTCATTTTTTTCAGCTTGGTACGAGAATAACACAATATAACTGGATGAATTAAGTATTTTGATTTTAATGACTTCCAAAATCGTAACATATTTCTATCGAATTATTATATACACACACACATATATTATTATTATATATATATATATATATATATATATATATATATATATATATATATATATATATATATGTGTGTGTGTGTGTGTGTGTGTGTGTGTGTGTGTGTGTGTGTGTACAATTAAATCTTAAAACCTATAAGCCTAGTAGTTATTAGCAGGGAAAATAACATTAAAAATAAAAATATATATAAAGTATTAACTAGTTACAGTAAAAGCATAAAGTATTATTACAATTAAATAAGTTAAGTTTCCACACTCTAAGGTACCAGTAATTCTTTTCTACAAATATTTATATATTTATTGAGAGACAAATTATACATCTACATTCAGGATGTAGATAAGTGCGTATTCAGTGGGCTATTAGCACCATAGGTTGTTCTACAAAATGGAACATTAAAAGTACATAGATGACTCAAACCATGGTAATATGGTACTCCAAGACTAATCTGACTCCCAAGAGAGGGATAGTCAGTTCTAGAACTTATTAATTTAGAAATCACAGTCAGACCAAACAAATTCCTCCTCACACATTGATTGATTAAAACTTTTGAAAGAATGGATTATTTAATTAGATGAATTAATAGATGACTATCATAACATGAATTTACACTGCTGAGATATAAGAGCAAGAGCATGTATTCTGCAACCACAATTGAAAAACAAATTAAATTTATCAATTCAATTCCACTGACCAGTTTTGTTGTGATTACAAGTATAATTTACAAATTATTGTTGACCTCTTAGAATTTGTAGATAAATTAGAAAGAATTGTTTTAAAACTTTTTCTTTTACAATTATTTTCTAAATAGGTAAATAAATAACTTTTAAAATGTCTTAATAAAAAATAATAAATATATTACCAATTTCATCATCTTGGGATTGTGATAACTGTACTAGCAATTTAGCTACTTCATGTTCAACATCCATCATTTTCAAAATAGTAGCACCATCATTAGTAACTGTTACTTCACCTGGAAAATAAATATTGTTACACGAATAGTATCACGAGTGTTATGAACATTTCCTACCATCAGGTGATACCATCATTTTGTCTAAACCTTTGGGACCCAAAGAAGTGCTTATTGTTTGAGCGATTTGTCTCGCTGCCAAAATATGTGACTAAAACAAATATTTATAATTATTGTAATTATAATAAATGTGTGTCTTTTAAAATACATAATAAATTAAGAAAAAAAGTAGAAAATATAAAACAGTTTGCAAAATCAAAACATAACCTACCTTAAGTGCATCTATCCCGGTCAATCTCTTTTGCTTATCTTGGTCTCTAAGAATTATAAACGGTCGTCCATATTCATCAAATGCAATACTTCCTGGTATAGCACTCATTTTGAAAATGTAAGTTTTCTAAAGACTTGGGAGATGTTGCAGATTAATTAAAATTTTATTTTTGTTTCGAATTGGCTACTCCCATCAAAGTGACAGAAAACTGGCATTTGACCACAGATCACCTACCTCCCTTTGAATATCATTTGACATTTCACGCTGTTTCACGGAAGAAAACCATAGAACCAAAAACTTTGAATCATCAGTATGAGATCATGGTACAATCAATGACGTATAATATATAGACTACGCAGTCCCCTATTCTCGCTATAGAATCGAGTGTCCGAAAGATCTCGGCTCAAGGTTGAAGGTATGTTTATCAAAACAGCGGCGTGCTCATTTATATGTTAATAACAATAATTATTTTTTTAATTAAAATTAAATATTTATGATTTCTTTTTGTTCCCGTCTATAAGTGAAATAATTATTTTGATGAAATAGCATGGCATTGTACTAAAATAGTAAGTAAATAACTCTCAACAATTTAAAATAAAATTTCCTTGTCACACAAAATGGAGAAAATGTTTTCATACGTCCATGATGTTTTCAAACACATCAACTTCGTGATGCTTCGTAAGAAATCATGAACTTCGTGCATCTTCGTATCAAAACAATAAACAATAACAAAGGTATTCATGTTTTGGACACTTTTTAAAGCGTTCACCGAGTCTATATATTATACGTCATTGGGTACAATAAACTGTGAATTTTATTGTACCATGGTATGAGATGGTATCATCACAGAATCACAAAATTGTTATTTATTCTGTGGTATCATCGAGATACCACAGAAGATACCACACTAGTTAACTAGTGTCTAGCTAGAGCACAGAATAATAAACAATGAGAATGCCCACTCTCCATGGAAAATTAAAGGTCGATTCAAACACATCAGTCCCGTCACAGTCCCGGCGCCAAACCGGTCCTGTTTGGTCACAGAACTATTAATTATCTGACAGCTGGGAAACTGTTCCTCAACTGATGAATGTAAATGCCGGCGGCAAGGTCGATTCAGACACATCAGTCACGTCTCGTCACAGTCCTGCCGCCGAACCGAACAATCCGTTATACAACATATTCTTTAATAGAAATATGGCGCACAGAACTATTAATTATCTGACAGCTGGGAAACTGTTCGTTTTATTTTATTTTATATCGTCGGTGTCAACACGTAAAGGCGTATCTCAAAATTTGACGAAATTGAGTTAGGACCGTATTTGATATCATAACTATAGGTCCCATGATGTGAAGAAGTGGCGTAACTAAATCTTATACCGTTCACATTAAAACCTAATGGTTTTACTGAGGCGTATCTTAAAAAGTTAAAAAAAAATTTAAACGTATGGGAGCATCTTAAGATACGCCTTAAAACTATAATTTTTTAACCGATTTTGGGGTGTATATTAACATATGCCCTATCGTATTTACTTCATGAAGAGGTAAATATGTTTATACAGGCGGATCTTTGCAGGTCTATGCTTGTATAATTTTGCTATTGGCCGTTTAAAACCGAAAGAAAAGAACAGTTCACCGTATGTACTTATCCAGAGCGGTTGTTCGTGTAACTTAATACGTTTGTTTTGTGTTCCAAAAAAATCTAAGTAAACATTGGTAAGTACGTGGTTCTGTTATTTAATAAATGACTTTCGTATATTAGGTATTATGAATGAATGTTATAACGAGTATTTTTACTTGTTGTTTAGTTGAATAATTGTAGTCCTAGTATTTTAAGTTGATTTGTGACTATTAGAAAGAGAAGGTTTGTTAAAAATAAAAACATCTTACACATTGTAAGTTGCTAAAAATAAAGAATACTAAAAACTAGATAAAATCTAAATAACTACATTTAAAACTATCGTATTCAAAACAAAATTGATTGATTAATAGACGTATTTTAATTACAGGTACACTATGATGGAAGTTTTGGTGCAATGAAGGGATCGCTCAATATGTTTGGTATGTACAAATAAACTAGAGGTGGTAAACAAGGACGATAAACACGTTTAAAAACGGTACACGTGTTAAAATGCTACATAATGAAAGGTGGTATTTTGGAATCATCCTTGATATGAAAGGATATTGTGGTGGCAGTTCGAGTGAAGAAAATGAACCTTTGACAAACACCGAGATTGGATCGGAATCAGATAATACAGATAATAGTGAAAAAAATAATAAAAAATCAAGTGACCATTTAAACAACGGCGATCCCTACTCGGATATAGACTTAAGCGATACAAACGATCCCACTTATACTCAGTGCTGTGAAGTACCAAAATGCAAAGGAGAAGTGTTCAGTTCCTGTTTCCGTTGTCAAATCCTTCTCTGCTGGAATCATTTCATGGAGGATTTGCCTACTTGTGATAAGCATCGCAACCAAGATTCCAGTGATGATTCGTTTGTGTCAAAAAGAAGATATCGCAAAAAAAAGAAGATCGATAATCGAAAGCCCGAAGATTACAACGTAGAAGGTGCATCAAAGGAATATGAAAGGGAAGTCTTGACGAGAACAAATAAAAAGAGAGTTGCTCAAGTTTTACGACGAAGTGGTGCTCAATATGTTTCAGTAGACACCAAAAAGACTGTTAGCGGACGTAAACTAGGTTCATCCTGTAACAGTGAGTGGTGTAAAAAGGGCGGTAGGAATTGCAGTAAGTTTAGTAAAGAAGTTAGGCAATCAATATTTGATAACTTCTATAAATTGGCTAATGTACAACTCCAACGCGAATATATTGCGCGGCACGTTAAACAAGTTAAAAAAAAATTTGCACAACTTCAAATCTCAAATCTAGGCGTGAGAACACTAACTTATTTTTTCTTCCTTTGGATGGAAACACTGTCCAGGTGTGTCGTTCATTTTTTATGAATACGTTAAATTTAAGTGAAAAAGCCATTCGTACTGTACTAACTAAAATGGATCGTACTGGCTTTATAGAAAAAGACAATCGTGGTGGTAGATGTGCTAACGTCGTTCTAAAGGACGAAGCTAAAAGAAAACTAATCGAAAATCATATTAATCGTTTTCCGCGAGTAGAGTCGCATTATTGTCGCAAAGATAGCACTCGGGAATATCTTCATAGTGACTTAACTTTAAAAAGGATGTATGCAATGTTTATTTATGAATCGGGTTTCGATGAAGACAAATCGTCTTTTACGACATATCGCGCAGTTTTTAAGGCTAAGAATCTATCTTTCCATAGGCCCAAAAAAGATTTATGTAGTTTATGCAAAACGTATCACGAAAGTTCTAAAGAAAAAAAAGTAGAAATGCAAACGACTTACGATGAACATACAAAGTCGAAAAATGCTATACGAGAGTATAAAAGCCTTTGTAAAATTTCAGCTGAAAGTGATCCTGAAAAAACGGTGTGCTTATGTTTTGACCTACAACAAGTAATACATTTACCTATATCGAACGAAAATGCGATTTTTTACAAAAGAAGACTTGCTATAATTTAAAATTTAGAACTTGGCCTCTCGCGACTGTCATTGCTTTACGTGGAACGAATGCGATAGTGGACGAGGGAGCTGTGAAATATCTACAGCCTTATTTAAAATCCTTTTAAAATATGACGAAAAAAAAGTTAAGATAGTTAATTTATTTGCAGATAGTTGTGGAGGACAAAACCGCAATACCATCGTAGTAGCGGCTCTTTTGTTTATCGTTTCTAAGTCAAATCACATTGGCGAAATTAGCCTGTGCTTTTTTACTGCAAACCACGGCCAAAGTGAAGGAGACTCTGCTCATAGTGCCATTTCGTATGCCATTAAAAAAGCGGGCGAATTGTTTATTCCGTCCCAGTTAACACCTGTTATTCGTCTTGCAAGACTTGCTAAGCCCTATGAGGTACATACCTTTAGTTTTGGGGACTTTTGGGTTTTTAAAACTTTAGGCGAAAATCTTCGAATAAGGTCATTGCGAATAGATGATCAAGGTAATGGCTTTAAATGGACAGAGGTAACAGAGTTCAAAGTTACTAAAAACGATTTACAAAAAATTTTCTTTAAAACAAGTCACCTAGAAGAAAATTATCGATCAGTCACTCTAAAGCGACAAAATACTCCTTTCCTAACTAAACCACTAAATAAATTAAACACAGAGCCCCGACCTATATCGATGGCAAAATATAAAGATTTGAACACTCTCTGTACCGGTAACACACCAGTGATACGGTTACCAGAACATATTAATTTTTATAAATCTCTGCCTCATACAGCGGAATGAAAATTTAAAACTATTTTTTTTTAAATATGTTTTTGTTTTTAAGACTAAACCCTTTAGCTTCGTCCTTTTAGTTTTAGTCAAGTGTTTAATAATGGTTATTTTGATACAGTTTTTGTTAAATATAAATTTTAGTTTTCTTATTATTGATTACTCTTTTTTGTGAATTATAAAGTTTTTTTTGGAATGTATTTTCAACTATGTTTCCTTTACAATAATAAATTAATTTTTTATTGTTGTTCAGTCATCTTAAATCCTATTCAATAAAATATATTAGCAGTTTTTTTCATTTCTAAAACAGTTTTTAGTAAAAAACATCCAAATCGACTGGTTGTTTGCGGAAGGCGTATCTTAAGAACCCACATCAAAGCTATTGTTGCTAGCTCTACAAAAGGGCGTATCTCAAACTAACCCCAAAAATAATAATAACAATAATAATTTAGTCAATATTTAAATGATAGAGTACTATTTCTTAGTCATTGTTCTTTACTATCACAAAGAAAGAACTTTATATTCAGTCCAGTTTTTCTGAAATGGAAGCAAATAGAAGTCGGAGATCCGTTTTTTCGCTCTAGTGAAAAGTTGCAAAAATCGAGATACGCCTTTACGGATTTTCATCGACGATATATAATAGAAACTTTATACATGCTATAAATTTCTAAGCGAATTTAATTTTTGATGCCATGTCAAACTGAACTGGATGTTAACTGAAATGTTTTTGTTATTATATAAGAACATATTTACATAATTTCATAAATATAATTTAGTGATCCACCTACGCACAATGAGAAAATAATTTTAAAAAATGGTTATTGTTTTGAATAAATCTTTGTGTAGTTTGATTATGTTGTAATTTAATATCATCCTTACTCATCTAAAAATATTAACTATTAAAGAATATTTATCATATTTTTTTAAGAAAAACTTACCAACGCATTATCTGATAGAACAAATGCAAAACTTTGACTATCCCTAATAATAAAATTTAAAATAGAACTAACTAAATAACTAAATAGAACTAACTAATTAACTAAAGAGAACTGTTAAGTCTTTATTAAATCTAATTTATTGTTCTTAATTTAATTTACTAAAGGTTCAATATTTATAACACTCACAAATTTAATTTATTTAAAGTTTATTTATAATAATTTACCTTACATAATTTATTTGAATACGAGCGTTACATTGTAAAATACCCGTTCGCGAATTTATCTTCTGATTAACCCCCCTCAATGAGAATCACCGTTATTTATATGAAATGCCGCTAGACTAGAAACATCTAGCTATGAGTCGATGACTTTCCACCCATTAGGTGACTCATTCAGCTAGACTAGAAAAGTCGATCGCCTTCTGTTAAATTCGGAGGGTCACGCCGGCTGCATTCTTGGTACCTGATATTCGACCCTTCTGGAGAATTCGGTAGTATTTGACCTAGAAAATTCGTGAATGAGTAAATATGTTTACGGTTTTTATACGCCATAATATTTATTATCGTGACATTGCCCCCCTCTTAAAAAATGGTTCCTCCTGGAACCTTGTCGGGACTGGAACTGGAACGGCATGCTGGTATCGGCAACTGGGCCCTCTTTTACAACTTGGCCGTGGTGAATAACGGAAGATATTCCGTAGTTCTTGTTTTCTTCATACCTAGTCTATCACATATTCCTTGGAATAGATCGCTTTCAAAGTTCCTGCCTTGGTCACTATGGATCCCTAAAGGCACTCCAAATCGGCTGATATATTCTTGGATCAACTTATCTGCAACGGTGGCGGCCTTCTCGTCTGGAAGTGCGTAAATCTCGACCCACTTAGTGAAGTAATCTATTACTACCAACATATACTTGCCTCCATTTTCACTTTCTGGAAATGGCCCAGCAATGTCCAAAGCTATTCTTTCAAACGGGCTTCCAACATTATATTGTCTCATAAGAGCTCTCCTTTTTCGATAAGGCCCGTTACTCGTAGCATAAATAGTACATTTCTTACACCAGTCTTTTACATCGTCGAAACTGTTCATCCAATAAAACCGTTCCCGAATTCGCTGAAGGATCTTCTTTACACCAAGATGCCCTCCTGATGGACTGTCGTGTAACTGACGAAGTACTTCGGCTATTCTGCTCTTTGGTCACCAACTGTCTTTTCTTCTCTGAACCGTCATCATCTTCCAGGACTCGTTTGAGCAAGCCATCTACCATGATAAATGAGTCCCACTGGGCCCAATACGTCTTAACTGCTGAGCATAGGTTTAATATTTATTGCCAAGGTGGTCGACGGTTTTCCTCTTTCCATTTTCGAATTTTCTGTACAACTGGATCTCTCTTTTGCTCTTCCCTTATCTTGGTAGACGTCTAGTCGTCGTTGACCATGGTTGTTCTTAGCACTGCTGCTTCCTTGGATTCCGTTTTATTGCAGTAGGAACACTCTGCTGGGCATGGCCTTTAGGAAAGAGAATCAGCGTTTCGGTGGCTAACTCCGGTCCGGTGCTCAATCTTGAAATCGTATTCTTGGAGTCGTTCGATCCACCTGGCTATCTGATCCTCTGGATTCTTAAACTGCATCAACCACTTAAGAGCGGCATGGTCGGTTCGGATTAAAAACTTCCTTCCATAGAGGCATTGATAGAAGTGCTCTACTGATTTCACTTCTGCCAGAAGTTCTCTTCTCGTGACGCAATAATTCCGCTCAGGTTTCGAGAGAACTTTACTGAAATATCCAAGGACTCTTTCCTGCCCTCCTTGAATCTGAGACAGCACTCCTCCAATTCCCACATTACTTGCATCTGTATCTAAGATGAACTCTCCTTCTGGCAGTGGATACCCTAAAATTGGTGCTGTGATTAAATGCTTTTTTAAGGTTTCAAAGGCATTTTGGCAGTCTCTATCCCAGCGGTAATCTCTTGCTTCCTCTGTGAGTCGCGTTAATGGCTTAGCGATATCCGCAAACTTCTTAATAAACCTCCGGTAGTAAGTACATAGTCCCAGAAAACTTCTCACCTGATGTTTGTCAGTTGGTTTTGGCCATTCCTTAATGGAATCGATTTTTCCCTTATCCACAGCCACTCCTTCTTTACTGACTATATGACCCAGATAATTAACTTTACCTTCAAATAGCTGGCACTTCTGGGGGTTTATCATTAATTGGGCAGCTTTAAGTCCATTAAAAACGTTTTCTAAATTCCTCAAATGATCTTCAAATGTCTCCCCCAAGACGATTATGTCATCTAGATAAACTAGGCATGTTTTCCAAGATAACCCTCTCAACACATTTTCCATAAGCATCTCAAATGTCGCAGGAGCATTACAGAGTCCAAATGTCATAACGTTGAATTGCCATAATCCAGATCCTGTGGTGAAGGCTGTCTTTTCTTTATCTATCGGGTCCATTTTTACCTGCCAGTATCCAGACTTCAAATACAAAGTAGAAAATAATTTACTTCCAGCCAATGTGTCCAATGTGTCATCGATCCGAGGTAGAGGATAACTATCTTTCTTGGTAACGTTGTTCAGCAAACGGTTATCCGTACAGAACCTCGTTGTTCCGTCTTTCTTCTTAACCAGGACCACCGGAGAGATCCATGGGCTCGTAGAAGGTTCTATTACCCCGTTTTTCTTCATTTCCTGAACAATCGTTTCAGCTTCCTGTGGTAATCGTCGAGCTGTTTGACGACTTGGATTAGCATTCCCAGTACCAATTTTATGCTTAACAACGGTAGTTCTTCCCGTCTTTCCTCCTTTCAATACGAAAATATCACGATACTGCCGAAGAAACTCCCTTAATTTCCTTTTCTCAGTCTGATTCAGAGATTGTCCAGCAACTGCAACCATTTGGTCAAATTTGTCGTTGGAATTATCAGACGTTGTCGTCTGGCGGATTATGGATGTTACAGGTACACAAGTTCCTACTTTTGTCTCTTGTTTGATGGTCACTGGGTAGTCATTGACATTGATAAGTCTCACAGGAATTTCTTTAGCCGAAGTTACCAATTCCTTTCCGATTATGATTAATATATATGAATAACGTATGCTTTTACCATTTATTTCTCCATCTACATATACACTATCTTCCCGACATTTCAAAGAAGCTATTAGTATGAAAGGGGCTTTGGAAAAGTTCTGCTTTCTTTGGAGTCGAAGCTGCTCCCCTAAGGCCGACCCGTTCTAGTTTTCCTGATGGTGAGTTTCTTTATTTGCATCGTACCTAGGATGCTTACAGGAGCTTCGTACGTGTCCTATTTCGC